AGTGGGAACACTTCAGGAAGACTGGAGGAAATTTCCAAAACCTCACTCAGTGCCGTAAGTGCCAGGGATGGGGTCACGGAACTAAAAATTGCTACATGCCAGCTAAATGCATAAATTGTGGTGATTCCTCTCACGCAAAGGACGACTGTCCTGTGAAGGAAGATCCTAAGAAATTTAAATGTTCAAATTGTGGTGAAATGTAAGACTCGCAAAGCGATCCTACAATCTCGTTCTAACCGACAGGTAGGAAACGCTCCACGTTTCCGACCAGGTACAAATTCCTCTGCTGTTAACAACGGTCAGCGAGGAACAAATTCTACATTCGTACCCGTAGGTACAAATATCACCCCTGCTTCAAATATTTCATCTGTACCTACTCCCCTCACTGCTAACAATGTTCAGCGAGTTAATGGAGCTACCTATGCTGCTATTGCAGCGGGTAGAAATCAAAATACTAACCAACGTTCTAACGGAAATTTTGACAATTTTGACTTAGGAAGCATTACTGCCCCTAAAATGGAATTTTTACAGAATCCATTAATTGACATGATTTCTGATATGCTTAAATCTAACTCCATGTTTGATGCTATTCAAACTGGAGTAAAATTTGCTAATAATATTGTCATGACTTTAAAATTCAGTAATGGATTTTAAAGCATTAAACATTTTAAATTGGAATGCTCGATCTCTTAAAGATAATGAAGACGAGCTATTTAATTTTTTGAGAGTTCATAACGTGCATATTGCCGTTATAACTGAAACGTTCCTTAAACCTGACCATAAGGTTAAGAAGGACGCAAATTACTTGATTTATAGAAATGAAGCATAAAATTCTTTCTTCATTTGAAACCAAAGTTTTTGAAACTTTGGGAGTTTCTGTTGAAACAAAATTTGGACAACTTACGTTTATAGCTGCCTATTTGCCATTCCAATGCGTAGGCCAGCAAAAGAATTTTCTCAAGGGTGACCTCCAGAAACTTACCCGTCATAGGTCTAAATTCTTCATTATTGGTGATTTTAATGCAAAACACCGCTCATGGAAGCAATTCCAATGGTAATATTCTGTTTGATGATTGTTCTGCAGGTTATTACACTATTCAATATCCAAACAGCCCAACATGCTTTTCTTCTGCAAGAAATCCCTCAACTATTGATTTGGTCTTAACTGATTCATGTCATCTTTGTAGCCAATTGGTTACCCATGCTGACTTCGGTTCTGATCACCTTCCAGTAACTTTTGAAATATCCCAAGAAATAATTTCTAATCCCAACAGCTTTACTTTCAATTACCATAGGGCTGATTGGGAGCAATATCGAACATTTATGGAATATAACTTCGATCCAAACATTCCTTTGCAAACCAAAGATGAAATTAACTATGCTCTTGAATCTCTGACTACTTCTATAGTTGAAGCAAGAGCTGCCTCAGTACCAAAATGCGAGGTTAAATTCGATTCAATTATAATAGACGATGATCTTCAGCTCTTGATCCGTCTTAAAAATGTCCGTAGGAGACAATTTCAAAGAACACGCGATCCTGCCATGAAAGTTATCTGGCGGGATTTGCAAAAACAAATTAAAAAGCGATTCTCTGCCCTGAGGAACAAAACTTTTGAAAATAATGTTTCTAAATTAGACCCGAGTTCCAAACCCTTTTGGAAACTCACAAAAAATTTTAAAAAACCTCAAAAGCCAATTCCAGCGCTTAAAGAAGGTGGTAAAATTTTGATCACAAATTTGGAAAAAGCTCAGAAACTTGCTAAGCAATTCGAGAGTTCCCATAATTTCAGTTTGGGTCTTACTAGTCCTATTGAGAATCAGGTTGCTCGAGATTTTCGGAATATTTTCTCTCGGGAAAATATTTTTGATGATTCCTGGGGGACTGATTTGGACGAAGTAAGGTCTATAACTAAAAAATTTCAAAATATGAAAGCTCCAGGTGATGATGGAATTTTCTATATCCTCATCAAAAAACTCCCAGAGAGTACCTTGTCTTTCTTGGTAAAATTATTTAACAGATGTTTCCATTTTACATACTTTCCTGATAAATTGAAAAATGCAAAAGTTGTTCCAATTTTGAAGCCGGATAAAAATCCAGCTGAAGCTTCTAGCTACCGTCCAATAAGTTTGCTTTCTTCAATAAGTAAACTTTTTGAAAAAATAATTTTGAATAGAATGATGCTTCAAATCAATACGAACTCAATTTTTGCAGATGAGCAGTTTGGATTTCGCCATGGGCATTCAACTACTCATCAACTCTTGAGAGTTACCAATTTAATTCGTTCAAACAAATCTGAAGGCCACTCAACTGGAGTTGCTCTTCTAGACATAGAAAAAGCATTCGACAGTGTTTGGCATGAAGGTTTGATTGCTAAATTGAAAAAGTTTAATTTTCCACTTTACATTATGAAATTAGTTCAAAATTATTTAACTGACAGAACTCTGCAGGTAAATTATCAAAATTCAAAATCTAATCGACTACCTGTTAGAGCAGGAGTTCCTCAGGGTAGCATTCTTGGGCCTATATTGTATAACATTTTCACTTCGGACCTCCCTGATTTGCCTCAGGGTTGCCACAAATCTTTGTTCGCTGATGACACAGGCATTTCCGCTAAAGGAAGAAGTCTTCGTGTTATTTGCAGCAGACTTCAGAAAAGTTTAGATATTTTCTCTTCTTATTTACAAAAATGGAAGATTTCTCCCAACGCTTCCAAAACTCAACTTATAATATTTCCACATAAGCCCAGGGCTTCCTTTTTGAAACCTAGTAGTAGTCACATAGTCACTATGAACGGAGTTCCAATTTCCTGGTCAAACCAAGTGAAATATCTTGGATTAATACTTGACCATAAATTAACTTTTAAAGATCACATTGAGCCAAGCCAAATGTAACAAATATATAAAATGTTTGTATCCTCTTATTAACAGGAAATCCAAACTTTGCCTGACAAATAAACTTCTAATATTTAAACAAGTTTTTAGACCGGCCATGCTTTACGCTGTGCCAATATGGTCTAGTTGTTGCACTACCAGGAAAAAAGCACTTCAAAGGATTCAGAACAAAATTCTGAAGATGATTTTGAAGTTGCCTCCCTGGTACAGTACTACCGAAGTACATAGAATTTCGAATGTTGAGACTTTAGCACAAATGTCCAACAAAATAATTAATAATTTCCGGCAAAAATCGTTACAATCCTCAATCGCAACAATTAATTCCCTTTATACTTAGATAAGATTAAGTTTTAGTTATTTAGTTTTAAGCTATCAATTGTTATACTGACATGCAGGTTTAAAAAACCTGTTTAAAATACTGAATTGCCAAGACAGGAACAATGTAAAAACACTTAGATATATATCATAACAATTAAGGCTGGTAAGTTACTGTAGTAACTGGAGCACCTAGGTTAAAAATGAAATGTAATTTATTTTGAATTTGGAACAAATAAAGAGTTAAAAAAAAAAAAAAAAAAAAAAAGTGGCATATGAGTGATCAGAATTACGACTAAAAATGAGCAGAATATTAAGAAGCACGATCATTGTTATTCACGAAAATAACGTTTTCAAGACCAAATAGTGTTTCTTAAATTGCTTTAACTTTTTGAAAACTCAACCAAATATGTCCAATACTGAGCCAATAATCGATAAATGTATGCTGAGTCAGCTGCCAAAAATTCATAGACATATCTTTTTAACTTGTGCTTTAGAGCCGTTTTTCTAAAATTTAAGTACAGTTGTACGTTCAATTTTGAGATACACTGTATATTAAGACATTTAAAATCGCAACAAAATGAAAGGCAAAAGTAGGTTTTTTAGGTACAGTATTTATTTCCTACATTCTCTGGGTGGGGCAACCCAGCCTTCCCTTATTAACGTCAATGGTTATCATTATTCTGTTGCATAATCGTTCACAACATTTACAGTAATTCAAAAATTTGGCAAGATTTGATTAATACTTTTCAGAATATACATTAAATGATAAAGTAGGTACCCCAAAGGATATAACGAAAGATATGGGAACTGTTCATAATTAAAAAAAAAACTTGATTAAATTAGTGATCGAATGAAAGAAACATGGTTCATCAACATTAGTTAAAATCTGACCAAGTATGGGCTAATTAAATTTTTTTTTGTGTTATGTACGTTGCTATAAGGTTAAAGTGATTTATTAAAATTAGGTGTCACATCAATGGTGGTAAGCTCCAACCGGTATTATCCTCGGATTAAATCCCGATCAAGAATGTCCGGCTGCTTTGATGTTGACATCAGTGTTAATCAATGCGGCACTAAGCAAACATTTTGCAGTTCATCCAAACAGTGACGGTATTAAAAATTAATGCGAGTTGGAGCTTACTGTCATAAGTGATAGGGCTAGGGACAGTTCGAAACACATCCGGGAACTAGTCATGCATGTGTACTGGTACTGAACTAGCAACACAACAATAACCAATTTTATACCTGCAAAAAATGCTTCATAAGCTAATCTGCAGCTAAAATTATTAGTTGGAAATGCCACTCATCAAATTAATGAATAAGGAAAATTGCATTGGGCATTTTTTCCAAACTGGAAGTTATTTGGATACCCAACAAACATTGCAAGCAGAATAAGAGCTTAGTCAGTTAAAAATATGCTTCTCCAGCTCTAAAAATTGCTTATTCAGCCTTCAATCAGCACAAATTGTTTGTTGGGTACTTCCAGTTTAAAATCAAGTGAACATGTCTCTAATTGATATAATTTTCTACCCAAATGTCACGTCTATCTGCAGAAAATATCTTCTATAAGTCTTTGGAGTCGATACACTGAAATTTGGACATTTAGTCCATCAATCCGGTCACTTTTAAAAGTTGATTATTGACACCTACTATGCTCAAAACAAAACTTTAATTTTAACATGACCTTATGTCATCGTTCAGAATTATCCCACATGATTATTTTATTGCAAAGAAGGCGCAGTAATTAATTAAAAATGAAATGTCTAGCTGGCCCGTTAGATCTGATATTCCGGAGCCTTACAGTAGCACAAATCTGACGAACAGATGAACTAAGTTTAACGTATAACTGACCTTTGGATTCAAATATATCTTCCCTTTCAGCTTTCCAATTACAGTGAGATTTTTTTCTATTTCTATGCTACAAAGTAAGAACTCACACACACAAATTGTTTTCACGTCGATTTCCAACATTACGAATCTTTCATAGAATCCTCGGTGATGATCCAGTTCACTTTATCACTGCTCAGTGCTTCACCCTAAACTCGATGCAATTATCTTGGTGATCGCATTAGCCTGCATCAGGTTCAGGATTACTAGATCCAAATCACTCTGGATCGCTGACGAATTAGATTGTTTTGAAATCTTCCAACCGTCACCAAAAGCACTCAAACGCACTAACACTTCACAGGGCAGGGATGATTCACTATGGCACTGACTTTGTTGCGCTCCACAATTTTCGCGCCCATTTTTTGTATTATTTGAACAGAAAATACAAACTTCACACCGCAGTTGTTACGCACCAATACAGCTCCTTTCTTCGGCCAGCTTCTGCTCCGTTAAACACTGAACACCGCGGAGAATCAACAGCTCCACTCCGGTAATGACTGTGGAAGCAAATGGAGAAAAAAAAATCCACTGTACCACTAATTCACTCTTCCGATCGATCAATCTTACCTAGTATACTAACGAACAACGTCAGAGCCATATACTGGGCGAACTTTTCGTCTTCTTCTTCGTGTTTTTTCAATGGCTTCCGGATCAGGATCTCGAACGTCCACAGTGCGAGCAGGATGAGATTCCTGATCAGCATGAACACCCGGTAGGTTCGAATGTAGGAAATCTTCGTCTGGAAAAGGGGACGAGGAATGTTCAGGATTCGTTCAGCAGTCTTCGTGATGTACCTACCTCCTTAATGCCAGTTTTGACGAATCCGACCAGCAGCGATGACAGTATGCAAATGATCATGTTGATAGTAAGAGTGATGACATTCTTCGTACCTGCAGGTGGGGAAAACAAATCGTTAATCAACTTGGCTCGTGGCAGAAGAAACAATGCCACTCACTATCGGCACACGACACATCGACACAGATGGGTTTCCGCTCGATCAGTTGGTTGAAGTAGTACACTGCTCCGAAAATGGACAGAACCTTGCAGATAATTACATAATTGCCGCCGATCCTGTGGAACGAGTTCTCCTCCATTTTCTCCGTGTGACTGCTGCAGTCAATCGAACTGCCACTGGCACCGCCGTAGAAGCAGAAGTTGTAGTAACGCCGCCGAAGGAGCGATCGCGACCAAAGCGTCCGTCGTCATGTCCACTCGCGCGCGGACTCTCGGCGACACTTCTGCCTTGCGATCGCCGCCGTGCCACCAACACCGCCACCCCCACCGCCACCGTCGTACGACAAATAGTCAGTCAATGATCAATGTATAAAAAACGGCTTCGGAATAGCGCGCGCGGGAAGACAGAAATTGGCTCCGAATGGATGCAGCTGTTTGGTCGGGGTTATTTACGAATATCGAGACATCGGACGAATGAAAATATCCCTGGACATGGGTTCTTGATTCAGTGGCATCGCGTGAGGTGTTTTCTACTTTTTTTTTAATACCCGGTAGATACGGACCTAAAGTATGGAGAAAATATTTCCCTGACACTCGCAGCGGTCAGTGGCGTTTGCGGGGGTGGACTCGAAGGGAGTAGTCCGCCAACCGCACCGCAGCATCTTGATCGAGGTGACACCTGTTAGGGATGACGCCCGAACGGAACGGGACACTGTGAGGAATTTATCTCCCGACTTTTGACACATCTCGTTGATTTATGAAGCGTATTTGTTTCCGGACCGCACATATTTTAAGTAACAGAATACATGGGGAAAACGATATGGCGCACGAAGATCGTAACTATTCGTTCCTGTGCGATATTAATCATTCACTGAATCATCTGTCTTGGAAAAAAAAATAAATAAAATGTATCAATCCTATGACGCCAGCGCCTACGCCGTACATTTTTCACCAATTTTGTCCAATTTTTCACCAAAAACTAACCCCAATCCTACCGAATCCCTAAGCGTCCGAACATACCTTCCCTGTCAGCACCTCAGGTCAGTGTGATCAATCTTTTCGCACCGATGAGCATCCCTTGCCTGGCAGTCAACCGACCTAGCATCGAATTCAACTAACGTTTTTCGGTCGTGAAATCCGAGTACAAAAAAAAAAACATGTCAACTGAAATTGGCACCGCTCCACGTGTTCGGTCGGGATCGTGATTAATTGTTTATTGACATGGCGCGTTGCAGTCCGGAAATTTTCGTACCTGAGCACCACCGATAGCACCGACTGACTGCAGCAGAGTGCAGTGAACAGCGAGCGAGTGGAGTATTGCTGGTAGTCGGTGTTGGATCCTAGATGATTGTTGCGCAATTTCTTAAATTTATTATTGGGCAGTTTTGGCCAACGGGATGGATCGAAGAAAAAATAATTAAAAGTGAATTTCATTCTAATCTACCGATATTCTCTACCAGAACTATAGATCAATGAAGAAAAGCCACCCCTGGTATCGCTCGGAGTGAAATGCATACAGTATTGTGTTGACTCGTTCTGTTGACAAATTAATGTTGATATATTGCTCTAGTGACGCGGACAAAACTGACCGTCTAGTGTCACATTATTGGATAAAATTCACTTTAGATTTCTAACTTTAGCACGTTGAACATCTCGCTTCGTAGTTACTTTGCAGTTCATGAGCTGTAATGCATTCAAAAATCAATTAATCGGAAACTAAAAAGATCAAAACGCCCACCGCTGAACTTTTTTTTTATAGAGGTGTTGGTTGCATTGAAGCATGTTTCTTCTGAGCAACATCAGCAATTCACATCACTCTTTGGTTGCAGTTATTACCATGAGAAAGGTCCGGGGATTCGGGATTTTATTTTTTCTCCAAGGCGCTTAAAATATCTGAATTGATTAATAAAACGCTTATTCATATTCAAAACGAAGAGTATGAAGGATAAAGGATAATACATAGGGTTACGGGATGCAAACTAGGCCTAGCCCCTCAACTTGACGTATTAAGCAAATAACTTCTTTTGTGTGTGTATTCCTTCTAACCCCCACTGTCCGGCAGTGTTATTATGGGAGAACTCTCTCTACAATGCCGCATTTATGGTCATTGTAGACAGCTTTAGTCCGGGAGTTAGAAGGCGATAGCTCTATTGCAGATCCAGCAACCCATTTCAGAATGTCTGGAGAGTCACGCCTATTCCGAGGTTACTTTCACTTACAATAAGCCCCGCATGTATGTATTACCTCTCCAAATTGGATATTAGTATTACATACACACTTCCAAGTTCGAAAATATTCTTTTCAAACCTAGTGTGTATTTAGTTTAGTTTTGATGTTAAATTTATAAATAATAATAGGCTCGGTCTCACCATGTTCCGCTGGTCTGCCGCCATTGATTGCTTCTTTTGGAATCCCTTGTACTTTTTCTCTAACGCTTCGTACTTCAATATCTCAACAATGTGTGGCTTTTTTCAAATTCAACGGTACTTACGGATGAAGGGAGTAAATTTAGAAGCCATCTTTGATAGAAACATTTCATTTATTATGGCGGCATCCGGTTCATGAAAAACTGGAAAATACTGTCAATACCCCACAATATGAGTATTTTTCGAATCAGGGTGACGTGTAGGAACCAGTGCTGTAAATTCTCAAAATCATTTGAACATTTTTGATAAAAATGAGAAAAGTAGCTATTCGCTATCAAAGGGGACCTCCTCCGAATGGTTGATATCAGTTGCTTAGTCATTTGACGAAGGCATGGATCATTCTCATTTGAGAATCGCTATATATCATTCAATTGAGTGTAACCTACACATAAACGGAGCTCTGGTCGACATTCCGGCGAAAAAGCTAAGCCAACCCGACACCAACCTGACTTCTACCAGACTCCAACCCGATGTTGACCCGACATTGACCCGACATAAATCCAAAATTGACCCGACAACAACACGGCATTGGGTCGACATCAGCCTTAAATTAGCCTTACATTGATCCGACATCGGGTCGACTTGTATGTTCGGGACCATTTTGCTGGATTTCTTCCATACTCCACTGTCGTATATCAAATGATAGTGAGTGACTCAATTGACAGTGACAATGAGCTTCGAATGAGAAAGGGGCTCTTCAAATTACGGTCATGTGAGAATTCGTTTACACAGAATTGATTGAATGGTGGTATTGGTTCATCTTCAATTAAATGATATGAAAATTTACAGCACTGCACAGTGGGAAAAAATCGACATAAAAGGAGCAGAATTCATTATCTCTGATCAGCGCTGATTTAACCTTTGCAAATATAATCATTCTTATGGGAAAAAATCTCAGGAATCCAATGGAAATGGTTTCGTCCTGTGCAGAATAGGAAAAGTTGGGGTTTTTGGAGCATTTTACTCAAATTTCTTAAAAAATTGTATAAATGACTTAAAAAATACCTCATTGTGGTTATTATACTTAATGAAATATTGCCACTCTTGTGGAAAAACATCTGGAGAATCCATTAAAAATGGTTTCATACATCACCAGTCTGTGCAGACTATGCATTTTAGTAAATTTTACCCCTATTACCTTATTTTCGATATTTTTTTTTAAAAGACGGTAGTTAGTGATAAGAAACCTGTCCAATGATAGTCCTTCTTGAAGGAAAACACCTTAGGGATCCAAAAAATTACGTTCCAGATTACATCGGAAGGTAAACCAATGCATGGAGTCATTTTTTCCTAATTCTTCCCTATTTATGAAGTTAATAAGTAGTGTTACACTCATAAAATAAATCACATAACCAGTGGAAAATATCCATGTGAACTTCACATAACTTTCATGTGATCCCATAATTGGAAATTGCACCACTAAATCACATGAACGTTATGTGTCCAATGACATCTATATGATTCCTCATATAGAATTTCTAATGCTATGTGATATTCAGGTAAAAATCAATGTGTTTGTGTTTGGAAAAATACTATGTGCGTTCCTAATAGAAACTAGGTGAAAACTTTTTTCAGTGTACACGGTTATACGCGTTAGTGCGTGTCATACTATAGTCTCGTGTACTGTATTACTGTAAAAATTACTGAGGATAAAAATTCTTAATTTTAATTGTGATGTAAACATTCATTCACGTAAACTTAAATTTAATTTCACACAACCGAGCAACTTGTAAACAATATTGTTTACAAAGATGGGCTTTTGTATACAATATTTGCTACATTGCATGAATTGTGATAGAACTTTACATGATATATAATGTAAACTTATATGAAATATGACGCTCCATTTGTGTGCATCATATTGAACAGAAATTTACACTACTTTTCGAACTGTGTGGTTTCATCTTGAGAAAATGTCAGTAAATAACCTATTTTGCCCAATTTCCCCCTTTTACTGGAGAAAATAAGTCATGATATACTTTTATAAGAATTAAGGCCTGTTATTTTGATCGTGAAGGTTGAGAACTTAAAGGAGTACAAAAACTGCTCTTTGTACATAACAGGTGGCCCAGATTCTGCAACCGGTTTCAGCCACTACAATCAAGCTAACATTTTATCCAAAAACGATTCTTTGTTCACTGAGCATTATATGAGCCTGAAATTACGCTCGAATAATGGAGATATTATTTGGGAAAATCCAAACCCACAAACACAGGCATTTTGTAGAGTTCGATCGATGAGCTGGATTAAGGAAAGCGACAAGTTATCGAAGAAATGTTTTAAAGATTTTTTCTTTGAGGTTGATGAAATTAACGCTAAACCAATCGTAGTTTCATTAAACGGCATTAAGTTGATGGTTTCAATTTCAGCCTTGTACAGTCTGTTGGATGGGAAAGTAGCCAACGCGATCGTTGGCAATCGTGACACTCACGCATGCCCACTTTGCGCACTGGGTGCAGACGAACAATTGGGACCATCGTATTTTCACTCCCGCTTAAATTGTGTGGAGTGGATGATTCAGACAGCGACAAAAAAATCGATCCCAGGACACCCGGCCCTCACACATCCGGACGTGAAATCTAAAGCCAGACGCGGAGCCAGGCGAACGAACTCGAAGGGCATTTCAAGATGCACGTAAACCACCCGAAAATTGGAGGTAGCGGAAGTTCCAATAATGGAAACATGGCCAGAAGGCTACTCTCTGTGCCAGAAAAGTTTGCAGAAGTTCTTAATGTGGATGCTGATATGATGAGAAACCTGCGTTTGATAAGCTGTTTGGCCTTGTCAAACCAATTTTTGAACAAGGACAAGCTAG